AACTAGAACAGAACTAGAACAGAACTAGAACAGAACTAGAACAGAACTAGAACAAACTAGAACAGAACTAGAACAGAACTAGAACAGAACTAGAACAGAACTAGAACAGAACTAGAACAGAACTAGAACATAACTAGAACATAACTAGAACAGAACTAGAACAGAGCTAGAACAGAACTAGAACAGAAATAGAACAGAAATAGAACAGAACTAGAACAGAACTAGAACAGAACTAGAACAGAACTAGAACTGAACTAGAACAGAACTAGAACAGAATTAGAACAGAACTAGAACAGAACTAGAACAGAACTAGAACAGAACTGGAACAGAACTAGAACAGAACTAGAACAGAACTAGAAAAGAACTAGAAAAGAACTAGAACAGAACTAGAACAGAACTAGAACAGAACTAGAACAGAACTAGAACAGAACTAGAACAGAACTAGAACAGAACTAGAACAGAACTAGAACAGAACTAGAACAGAACTAGAACAGAACTAGAACAGAACTAGAACAGAACTAGAACAGAACTAGAACAGAACTAGAACAGAACTAGAACAGAACTAGAACAGAACTAGAACAGAACTAGAACAGAACTAGAACAGAACTAGAACAGAACTAGAACAGAACTAGAACAGAACTAGAACAGAACTAAAACAGAACTAGAACAGAAGTAGAACTGTTCTAGAACTTTCAAAGGAAGCTCAAGCTCTTGTCAGTTAAATTTTCTAATAAAAGGTCTCTTTATTGGTTTTTATTTATAAATAAAAATATCGACTTCTTATATTCAACAAAACATTCATCTTTAAACTTAAATACACAAGTTTCCTTTTATTTAAATATCCTCCTATTTCCTTGTTAACCAATCATTATTTTCATTGACAAGATAAGAAAATTCTTACTTACTTCTATAAATACTACAAGTAGAAAATCAAAATTGATGTTTTTTTCATACAATTTCCACAAACAATTTATAAAAATCAACAACTAACTGCTTGCTACATGCAACATGCTCTATGTAAACTGTTAAAAAGAATACCAAGTTGGCAAAACACTATGGCAAAATCAAAAGACAAGAGTAAATATTATAATATTGAATAATGATCAAAAAAAAAAAAAAAAAAAAACGAACAAGTTACTAACTGCATACATACTACTATAGTACTATAATGTGCAAAAAAAAATCTAATTCGTAAGAAGACATTAAAATAATAATAAAGAAGAAGAAACAAAATCTAGAAAAAAGCAACATCTACTTGCATTTAAATAAAGTATAAAATAATAATAGAGAGATTGTCATACAAGAAACTTAAATGCAACAACATTTAACTAAAGCAACGGAAGGACGGATGGACAGATATTCTAAAAAAGTAGTTACTGGCTGCAGCAGCAAACATGAATGACTAAAGACCAGCCAAATGACTGGCTGGTTAACTACAACAGGGTTTGGGTTACTTGGGCTGTTTGATAGACATCGACGACTGACTGCCACAATACAGTTTGTTGACTGCTGCTGCTGCTGCACAGACTCTAAAAAGGGTCTTCGTAAACTTTGTTACTTTTTACAGTTCGAAGATTGAATTATAATAAAATAAAACCAGAGAGTATACTAGAGTAAGGGGAGGAAAGAGGGATTTAAAACACTAAACTAAAGCAGACAGCAAATCACAGTAGACTTAAATAGACAGTAGCACCACTTAAGTTTAAGGAAATAATAACAGAAAAAAAGCTGAAGTAAAGAAACTGTTAAGAAGCTAAGTACGGTGGTTTTAAAAGGGAAAAAATTGCAAGAGCAATACAAATTTCTTAAGCCTTTATAATAGGAGCCAAAAAATTATAGAGAACATTTGCTAATTCAAACTTATATACAAATGTAGATCGCCTTAATAGTTTGAAATTTTCTCAAAAATTTTTAATCTGTCCAGTTTTATTTCTTACTGCCCACTGCCATCTTTTACAAAAAAATCGTATAAAATTGAAGAGGGAATTACCGAAGAAACAAATTTAAATACAGAAAGACAACAAAACAGGAAAAAAAATAGGAAAATGATTTTAAAAATAACGCGCAGTTAGAATCTTAAGTAACGGCACTGTTTCCAATGGGATGTTGAAAGACACTTTTCTTTAGAAAGTTCTCCCTGCAGAGGGTTTTTTTGTAGAGATTGCAGATAGAAGATAATAATGATGAGTAGCTACAGAGATGCATCTCTGGATCAAAACTTAAGATAACGAATTAGCTATATAGAAACCTACTCTTGAGAAAATTTTTCATTTGAAGAGCTTCTTTAAAAAAGTTTTCCTGGAGAGATTTTGCTTTAGAAAAGTTTTTCTAGAGAGAGTTTTCTATAGAAATATTTCTATAGAGAGAGTTTTTTTAGAAAAGCTTCTCTAGAGGGAGTTTGCTTTAGAAAAGTTTCTCTAGAGAGATTTTCTTTAGAATAATTTCTATTGAGAGAGTTTTATTTAGAAAAGCATCTAAAGAGGGTTTTCTTTAGAAAAGTTTCTCTAGAAAGATTTCTCTAGAGAGAGTCTTTACAAACGTTTATCTAGAGAGTTTCTTTCTAGTTCAGTTCTAGTTCATTTCTAGTTCAGTTCTAGTTCAGTTCTAGTTCAGTTCTAGTTCAGTTCTAGTTCAGTTCTAGTTCAGTTCTAGTTCAGTTCTAGTTCAGTTCTAGTTCAGTTCTAGTTCAGTTCTAGTTCAGTTCTAGTTCAGTTCTAGTTCAGTTCTAGTTCAGTTCTAGTTCAGTTCTAGTTCAGTTCTAGTTCAGTTCTAGTTCAGTTCTAGTTCAGTTCTAGTTTCAGTTCTAGTTCAGTTCTAGTTCAGTTCTAGTTCAGTTCTAGTTCAGTTCTAGTTCAGTTCTAGTTCAGTTCTAGTTCAGTTCTAGTTCAGTTCTAGTTCAGTTCTAGTTCAGTTCTAGTTCAGTTCTAGTTCAGTTCTAGTTCAGTTCTAGTTCAGTTCTAGTTCAGTTCTAGTTCAGTTCTAGTTCAGTTCTAGTTCAGTTCAGTTCTAGTTCAGTTCTAGTTCAGTTCTAGTTCAGTTCTAGTTCAGTTCTAGTTCAGTTCTAGTTCAGTAGTTCAGTTCTAGTTCAGTTCTAGTTCAGTTCTAGTTCAGTTCTAGTTCAGTTCTAGTTCAGTTCTAGTTCAGTTCTAGTTCAGTTCTAGTTCAGTTCTAGTTAGTTCAGTTAGTTCTAGTTCAGTTCTAGTTCAGTTCAGTTCTAGTTCAGTTCTAGTTCAGTTCAGTTCAGTTCTAGTTCAGTTCTAGTTCAGTTCTAGTTCAGTTCTAGTTCAGTTCTAGTTCAGTTCTAGTTCAGTTCTAGTTCAGTTCTAGTTCAGTTCTAGTTCAGTTCTAGTTCAGTTCTAGTTCAGTTCTAGTTCAGTTCTAGTTCAGTTCTAGTTCAGTTCTAGTTCAGTTCTAGTTCAGTTCTAGTTCAGTTCTAGTTCAGTTCTAGTTCAGTTCTAGTTCAGTTCTTGTTCAGTTCTAGTTCAGTTCTAGTTCAGTTCTAGTTCAGTTCTAGTTCAGTTCTAGTTCAGTTCTAGTTCAGTTCTAGTTCAGTTCTAGTTCAGTTCTAGTTCAGTTCTAGTTCAGTTCTAGTTCAGTTCTAGTTCAGTTCTAGTTCAGTTCTAGTTCAGTTCTAGTTCAGTTCTAGTTCAGTTCTAGTTCAGTTCTAGTTCAGTTCTAGTTCAGTTCTAGTTCAGTTCTAGTTCAGTTCTAGTTCAGTTCTAGTTCAGTATTAGTTCAGTTCTAGTTCAGTTCTAGTTCAGTTCTAGTTTAGTTCCAGTTCAGTTCTAGTTCAGTTCTAGTTCAGTTCTGGTTCAGTTCTAGTTCAGTTCTGGTTCAGTTCTAGTTCAGTTCTAGTTCAGTTCTAGTTCACTTCTAGTTCAGTTCTAGTTTAGTTCTAGTTCAGTTCTAGTTCAGTTCTAGTTCAGTTCTAGTTCAGTTCTAGTTCAGTTCTAGTTCAGTTCTAGTTCAGTTCTAGTTCAGTCCTAGTTTAGTCCTAGTTCAGTTCTAGTTCAGTTCTAGTTCAGTTCTAGTTCAGTTCTAGTTCAGTTCTAGTTCAGTTCTAGTTCAGTTCTAGTTCAGTTCTAGTTCAGTTCTAGTTCAGTTCTAGTTCAGTTCTAGTTCAGTTCTAGTTCAGTTCTAGTTCAGTTCTAGTTCAGTTCTAGTTCAGTTCTAGTTCAGTTCTAGTTCAGTTCTAGTTCAGTTCTAGTTCAGTTCTAGTTCAGTTCTAGTTCAGTTCTAGTTCAGTTCTAGTTCAGTTCTAGTTCAGTTCTAGTTCAGTTCTAGTTCAGTTCTAGTTCAGTTCTAGTTCAGTTCTAGTTCAGTTCTAGTTCAGTTCTAGTTCAGTTCTAGTTCAGTTCTAGTTCAGTTCTAGTTCAGTTCTAGTTCAGTTCTAGTTCAGTTCTGGTTCAGTTCTAGTTCAGTTCTGGTTCAGTTCTAGTTCAGTTCTAGTTCACTTCTAGTCCAGTTCTAGTTAGTTCTAGTTCAGTTCTAGTTCAGTTCTAGTTCAGTTCTAGTTCAGTTCTAGTTCAGTTCTAGTTCAGTTCTAGTTCAGTTCTAGTTCAGTTCTAGTTCACTTCTAGTTCAGTTCTAGTTTAGTTCTAGTTCAGTTCTAGTTCAGTTCTAGTTCAGTTCTAGTTCAGTTCTAGTTCAGTTCTAGTTCAGTTCTAGTTCAGTTCTAGTTCAGTTCTAGTTCAGTCCTAGTTTAGTCCTAGTTCAGTTCTAGTTCTAGTTCAGTTCTAGTTCATTTCTAGTTGAATTCTAGTTCAGTTCTAGTTTAGTTCAGTTTCTTCTGGAAACATTGTACATTTAAATGTTTCGCAGTTATTTTTCTATAATTTTTTATTATTGCATCTACATCCACGACTTAAATGTTGCCTTAAGTGTTAAAGCCTTGTTGTTTACATGTAGATTTACGTTTAATTTTTTTTCTTCTGCTGTTTCTTGTTGTAAGCTTTTATATGTACTTGTAGTAAGTTATTTTGCTATTCTTTCATTTACAGCAACACATCCAAAACGAAGACAGACAATATGTAAGTATTAAAGAAAACTTTACAATATTGTAATTTATAAGTTTATAGTAGTTGCTTGACTTTATAGTTCGTTTATGTATGAATAAAAAGAGAGAATAAGTTTGTGAAAAAAAGAACACTTACGCATTGATGGGCTCAAATACAAAATGACTATTTGATTTTTTATTGTTGTGTTTCCCAAAAGGAACAGAAGGATAAAAATGCAGGCAATTTCTTAAGGGGAAGCTGCTATAGAGAAGTTAAGTAATACAGAGCTTTTTCGAAATGAAATATGGAGCTCCAGTAGAGGGTTCCTTCTCTTATCTTTTGCAATTGTTGCCATATTCCGTTAAATGCATTCAAATAAATATTTTAATATAATTTTATTTTTATGTTGTTTTCCAGACATTTGCTTCTACTATTAAAAATAGTTTACGAAGTGATAAAATTTATTTGAAAATAATAGTGAAAATTTGAATTTAAGAGGGAGCTTAAGCAGTTAAAGACAATATTGAGTATAAAATTTTATAAATCAATAAGAATTTAATTTATTGCCACCTGAGGGCAAACAAATAAAGAAGGTGTTTGAGGTCAATATGTAAACAGAATATAAGCGGCAGGCGTTTTTTGAATTAAGGTTATTTTTAAACACACAAAAAAGCTAACTTCTATTATTTTTTAAAACAAAGTTTATTTAAAATTTTATTATATGCTCTTCTCGTTTTGTCGCTTTTATTATAAATTTTTTTAGCTTTTTTACCTTCATTCCAATTTTTTTTTCAAAAAAATATTTATGCATGAGTATTCCATGTAATTTCAGTGTTCAGTACTCCATATATTCTTTTTTAATAAACTCTGAGCATAAAAATTTTTGACACGCAACATCCATATGACAATATAACTGTCAAAATGACACTTGTAGATAAAATAACAACAAATAACATTTATGTATAAATAAAAGATGCCAACACTAGTATTGAAGGCGAAATAGTGGCAAAAAAATGCAAAAAAAAAAAAAAACGAAATAAATATGAATAAAATGAAATTATTGAAACGTGAAATGATACAACACGCAAAAGCAATATCTATTTTTTATGACAAAAAGATTCACCGTAAAGAAGGAGATTTTTAGGAGGGAGGAAAAAACGTAGAGATTTAAATTGTCAAATAAAAATTTATGAAAATACGACATGGAAGAAGTTATGTGAAACTGCTGCAGTTGCATGGAAACTGAAACACTTTAATCAAAGAACTAGAACATAGTTATAGAGAGAAAAAATGGACATTTTCGTAAAAAAACTTTTTTCAAGATAAACTTTTCTTTTGCGAAACTCTTGTTAGAAAATCTTTTTTAACGAAAATCATTTTTTGAAGAAACTTTTATGAAGAAAACGCTATATAACTAGACTATGACTAGACTATGACTAGACTATGACTAGACTATGACTAGACTATGACTAGACTATGACTAGATAGACTAGACTATGACTAGACTATGACTAGACTATGACTAGACTATGACTAGACTATGACTAGACTATGACTAGACTATGACTAGACTATGACTAGACTATGACTAGACTATGACTAGACTATGACTAGACTATGACTAGACTATGACTAGACTATGACTAGACTATGACTAGACTATGACTAGACTATGACTAGACTATGACTAGACTATGACTAGACTATGACTAGACTATGACTAGACTATGACTAGACTATGACTAGACTATGACTAGACTATGACTAGACTATGACTAGACTATGACTAGACTATGACTAGACTATGACTAGACTATGACTAGACTATGACTAGACTATGACTAGACTATGACTAGACTATGACTAGACTATGACTAGACTATGACTAGACTATGACTAGACTATGACTAGACTATGACTAGACTATGACTAGACTATGACTAGACTATGACTAGACTATGACTAGACTATGACTAGACTATGACTAGACTAGACTGGACTATGACTGGACTATGACTGGACTATGACTGGACTATGACTAGACTATGACTAGACTATGACTAGACTATGACTAGACTATGACTAGACTATGACTAGACTATGACTAGACTATGACTAGACTATGACTAGACTATAACTAGACTATGACTAGACTATGACTAGACTATGACTAGACTATGACTAGACTATGACTAGACTATGAATAGACTATGACTAGACTATGACTAGACTATGACTAGACTATGACTAGACTATGACTAGACTATGAATAGACTATGACTAGACTATGACTAGACTATGACTAGACTATGACTAGACTATGACTAGACTATGACTAGACTATGACTAGACTATGACTAGACTATGACTAGACTATGACTAGACTATGACTAGACTATGACTAGACTATGACTAGACTATGACTAGACTATGACTAGACTATGACTAGACTATGACTAGACTATGACTAGACTATGACTAGACTATGACTAGACTATGACTAGACTATGACTAGACTATGACTAGACTATGACTAGACTATGACTAGACTATGACTAGACTATGACTAGACTATGACTAGACTATGACTAGACTATGACTAGACTATGACTAGACTATGACTAGACTATGACTAGACTATGTCTAGACTATGACTAGACTATGACTAGACTATGACTAGACTATGACTAGAGTTAGTTAGTTTGTTAGTTAGTTAGTTAGTATTTAGTTAGTTAGTTAGTTAGTTAGTTAGTTAGTTAGTTAGTAGTTATTTAGTTAGTTAGTTAGTTAGTTAGTTAGTTAGTAGTTAGTGTTAGTTAGTTAGTTAGTTAGTTAGTTAGTTAAGTTAGTAGTAGTTAGTTAGTTAGTTAGTTAGTTAGTTAGTAGTTAGTTAGTTAGTTAGTTGTTAGTTAGTTAGTTAGTTAGTTAGTTAGTTAGTTAGTTAGTTAGAGTTAGTTAGTAGTTAGTTAGTTAGTAGTTAGTTAGTTAGTTAGTTAGTAGTTAGTTAGTTAGTAGTTAGTTAGTTAGTTGTTTAGTTAGTTAGTAGTTAGTTAAGTTAGTTAGTAGTTAGTTAGTTAGTTAGTTAGTTAGTTAGTTAGTTAGTTAGTTAGTTAGTTAGTTAGTTAGTAGTTAGTAGTTAGTTAGTTAGTAGTTAGTTTAGTTAGTTAGTTAGTTAGTTAGTTAGTTAGTGAGTAGTTAGTTAGTTAGTAGTTAGTTAGTTAGTTAGTTAGGTTAGTTAGTTAGTTAGTTAGTTAGTTAGTTAGTAGTTAGTTAGTTAGTTAGTTAGTTAGTTAGTTAGTTAGTTAGTTAGTTAGTTAGTTAGTTAGTTAGTTAGTTAGTAGTTAGTTAGTTAGTTAGTTAGTTAGTAGTTAGTTTAGTTGGTAGTTAGTTAGTTAGTTAGTTAGTTAGTTAGTTAGTTAGTTAGTTAGTAGTTAGTTAGTTAGTTAGGTAGTTAGTTAGTTAGTTAGTTAGTTAGTCGTTAGTTAGTTAGTTAGTTAGTTAGTTAGTTAGTTAGTTAGTTAGTTAGTTAGTTAGTTAGTAGTTAGTTAGTTAGTTAGTTAGTTAGTAGTTAGTTAGTTAGTTAGTTAGTTAGTTAGTAGTTAGGTTAGTTAGTTAGTTAGTAGTTAGTTAGTTAGTTGTAGTTAGTTAGTAGTTAGTTAGTTAGTTAGTTAGTAGTTAGTTAGTAGTAGTTAGTTAGTTAGTTAGTTTAGTAGAGTTAGTTAGTTAGTATTAGTTAGTTAGTTAGTTAGTAGTTAGTTAGTTAGTTAGTTAGTTAGTTAGTTAGTTAGTTAGTTAGTTAGTAGTTAGTTAGTTAGTTAGTTAGTTAGTTGCAGACTGAACTATCCCCTTTCTCCCAATAACTCTCTATCAGGCGTTCTCTAGAGAAGCTCTGTGGGTCTTCTTTTCAATAATTAATTCAAATCTCACATTTTAAAACAATAATTAATATTAAGTAATCTATTTTGTCATTAAAACCCTATTCCATTTCTTTTTTAATTACTAACTTATATCTTGTTTAACCTAAATTCTAAGAATCTTCCCCCCACTTATTAGAAATTATGTTAATGAAGCTTTAAGTTTAAGCAGCATAACATTCATTAGTTTTAAAAAACATATATAATACATTATTAATTATGCATATTAAACCTTAACAACAACCTAAAATTATTAATAAAAAATCTCTGATAGAAATCTCTCAAAAAAAGTCAAAGCAAGAAAACAAACAAAATGCGCATGCGTGCAGTTCACAAACGAGTTTTGTGTTTAAAAGACAAAGAGTAAGGTAAGCAATCACCTGTCATTAAATAGAAAAACTGTAGCTGCTCTTTGTTTAGAAGGTAAACAATAATAAATGAGAGCAATAAAGAGGGAGAAAGCCAAACTATGTTGAGTAAGAGAGTTTAAACAGCATTTTGTTTAAGAGTAGTGTCAGCTGTTTGCTAGATCTTTTAGTGTTTCTGGTTTTATGCTCTGGCTGTGAGCATTTCAGCTTATTCTTTGTTTTCAGCTGGCTGCTAAGTCATTCACCTTTTTTGGTTGTTGCTGTTATCTTTTCCCATTTTAAACTATTATTAGTACTTGTAGTACATTAAATTATAATGCGTTTTGACTAATCACAGTTTCTAAAAAAACACCCTAAACAAAGTGTTTGTGAACAGGGCATGAATGAAGCTGAATAGCTTCTTTCTAAACTGTAGCATTTTGTTAATATAGATAGTTTTTTTTGTTATTGTTAGTTTTTAAGTGTGTTTGTTATTTGTTCAAAAAACATTTCACATTATGTTAAATTTACTTTTTTTGTTGTTAAACAAATGGTATAAAAATTAACAGTTATAATGAAAATTATACGTTTTGTTTAAAAGAGCGGAAGAAAGAAAACAAAAAAAAAAAACTTTTAAATAGATAATACCTGTTAAAAAGTTTTTATTTCTCAAAACCAAACTGATTATTTGAAAATTAAATATAAAAGAAAGTATTTAAAAAATAAAATCAATAGATCAGATCTAAAATGTTTAGGTTTTATTGCTAAACTT